GCAAAATATTATACATCTTTTATTTATTTTCATTGAGAATATTTTAATACAGTACCTTAATTAAAAATTATTTTACATGTTTTTTTTAAATAATTGTTACAAATAAGTATTCAGAGTTTTGTTCGTAAGTGATACTGTTTATTTTTGAATTTTTATCTGTTATGTTTTATTTTTAAAAGACATTTTAGTTAAAAAAATTATATATTTAAAATTTTATTGATTTTGACTTTTAAATAATATGAGATATCAGAACATAGTTATTTTAGAACTCCTATCCATTATAATTCTATTCTTAAAAAATACACTATTATCGAAAAAAAAATATAAATTACCTACCACTCATATATGATGAGTAATAATTCTAATGGTTAACATTTTTCATTATATTACATTCAGTGGTTAAATAAGATGTAGAGAATTCACCAGTATATTTGTATTGGATTCAAATTAAACATTTATAATTTAATTATTGAATTACTCTTACTCGAGTTTTCGTCTGCTTATGTATTGTATTATGCTCAACCTAAATTTTATTTTATAGCATTTTGTATACTAAAACGTAGGAATATTTACTGTAAAAACGTAGAATGAAAAATAAAATATATAGGAGATGTCGGTATTATCTTCACTTGTGTAGCAATTATTTAATGAAAATTAAAAATATTTTCATTATAGATGTCATGATTCTACATTAGTGATATGAGGCATTAAATTATTAATATAATTAATTATAAAATATCAGTATTTTCAAATAATATATTTACTCGTTAGAATGACGCATACTTTTAATGAGTTTACAACAGTAATGTTAATAAATTAATTTCTATTAAATAACAGGCTATATAGAAAACCAAATTTAATGCTTTATTACTAATGTATGACATTATTTAATGATTTTTGACTGAAAATAATTAATTTATGCAGCATAAGAGAAAGCGTGACAAACCATTTTTCACTAATAATTAAAGAAAATGCAGAAAAATCAAACTTTTTTTTCTCTTGGTAACCATTTCACCATATCTTCTATTAATATAATAATAATAATAATAATAGTTTTATTTACTTTTGTGTCTTTGTTTTTTTTACTTTCTCTTATCAAGAGGATCTACTAATTTCTAAGATGAATTGTAAATATATATATTAAGCAAAAGTAACCAACAAGAGAAGAAAAAAAAAACTGTGAAAGCAAACTTGTCTATATTGATTCTTCTTGCCAATGTGCTATGGAACTGAAAATATTGTCAAAATGACAATTGATACTCATGAAAGTTAAAAGATATTAACTTCTAATAGGAAAAAAAAAAAAGACTAATTAATACCAACTTGTCCTTAGTTTCTTTGTAGAATTCACTTGAAACTTGTTAATCAAATTAGAATTTGAGCAAATTGGGCATCTAGGGTGAGCTTTGGATACCATCACATAAATTAAACAAGGAGCACATGCCATTGCTATCAATGGTGGTAACTCATCAACATTCTTATCAGTGTCCATTTTGGAAGACAAGCATGGTCCCTGAGATGATGATGATGACAATGGAGTCCTTGAAGTGACCCATTTTAGGGCTAAATTACCAGAACTTGATCCTGGCAGTGACAGTTTCAGTTCTAAATCAACTTCTGCACAACCTTCATACTCATTTATCCCAATTTCACTCAAGCTTCTTTTCTTTATTTCCTTTGATGCTGCTCCAACCTTTTCATCAACCAACAACATGAAACAACACATCAAATACACACAAATATCGTAAAACACAAACACTTATCATGAACATATCTCAATTTATTAAATTAACCAAGAAATTTAAATCACAAAACATGAAACTAAGGAGAAGTAAAAATTCTCCTAACAAGCATTTTCCTATTTTTTGAATGAGCATACCTTAGGAATATCCATTGTGATATACTGAAGTGAACGATGGTTAAAATTTTGTGAGCATATATATACTAAACATGAATTTGGACCACGTCAAGTACATGCTTAGTTTTAATCTGTGCATTAATTAGTTTCACGTTTGTCTACAAGTAACCGAGAATAATTTGTATATTTTTATTCATTTCACTTAAAAAAGTTAAGTGCTCAGATAGTGATTTATTCGAAAGTGTTTATTAGTAAAATGAAAAATAAAAATCCAGTGACGATTAATATTTCTAGTCTGAAATATGTTTTTTATTATCCTCGAACAAAAACATGTTTTTCTAAGCTAAAGTTAGGATAAACAACAATTAACAAAATTTTTAATTTCGTTCCCAATTATTACATTAGATTGAGCTCTAAATGAAGTCTACACAATAAAAAAATTTACACACTCCCTCATAACTAATATTAATAATTTTTATTAATACCTATTTTGATGTATTATTAATATTCTTAATATTTCATTAAATAATTCACTTTATTAAAATATTATATTTATTACAAATATTTAATCATATGAGTTTTTTTAATGCCATTAATATCATAAATTTTATTTAATTTTACGATCTTAGATTAAGGATATAAATATGAATGGGTAATTATATATATATAAAGCGTTACGATGTTTAGTTGAATTTGAAAAAAATTCTTTCACAGTATTTTTGTCTATACATATACAAATATAGTTTTTTAAGAAGTCAAAAATTCCATTTGAAACCAGACTTGATAGCACCATGTTCGATACAATTAAAGGTAAACAGGCAAAAAATCAAATAATTTTAGCGTGAAGCTAAGTTAAGATGCTCTTAATAATTTTGGTCAATAAAATCACTTTCGAACAATGAAATGTATCTTTCCGACGAAAAATGTGTTAGTTCTACCAATAAATACATTTAAAAATATCTTTTTATTACCCCTTCAAATGTGTCATGTCCTTTTCACCATTTTTACCTTCAAAACAACAACTTTGAACTTCTTACTATTCTTAACAAGGTGTTTCTAAGAACAGCAGCCAATGTTGAGAGACTAATTTTGGGTTGGAGACAACTTTGTAAAATAACTAATAACATTAATTATATTCTTCTTATTTTAATAAGTTTTTCTTGATAATAAATTAATTTAGTTTCAAATTTATTTTGAAACAATTTAATTATTATTATTATTATGGTTATAAAATGATGAAGGATGAAAATGAGAAATAATTTTTAACAAATATATTTATAAAATAATTTATAAGTGTATTTATATGATAATTATTTAAATAATAAAAGCTTAATTAAATTATTGATACGATGATCAATTGGATAATTTTATCTCGTTTTAATCCGTCTTGTTTCTAATAAAAAATGAAATAGGATGAAATAACCACTATAAAAAAATAAAAGAATAGATTAATGGATTAATTTATTAATAATTTTTTTATATAATTTTAATAATATATCTATGAATAATTTGAAATTTTTATTTATTAATTAATATTTTAATTAAATAAATTAAAAAATTATTATATTTAAATGTTAAAACAATTAATTATAACCAATAATTTAAATTCAATTAACTATTTTTATAATTTTAATCATAATATTATAATTATTTACATATTTTAATAATATGATAAAAAATATAATATTTTTAATTATAATATTTTTAATTTTAATATATAAATATTTTTTTAAAACAAGTGAACTGCAGTCTATCCTTAACCCACTGATTAGTGAATTAATACTATCAATTCATCTCTTTATTTTATAGTAGTGTAACCTAATCTATTTTACTAAATAAAAAAAATAAAAATCAAAAGCATTCTTACACAAGATGTTAGAAATAATCATGGAAGACTATATTTGAATTTAAATATGGAAGTTAAAACAAATCCGTTGATTTTTCAAACTCAAGAAAAGAAGGGAGGCAAGAGTGAGGGAGAAAACAGTAATTGCATAAAAATTATGACCATTCCGCTAGGCGACAAAACGAGGAGGTCTGTCGGCAACTGTGGGCCTGTGCTGTGAACCGGGAGATAAAAGCGGCGCAAAATCTAGCTCTTCCCTTCCAACACAAAACTCATCTCAAAATAAACATTAACTTAGCACAACACACGCGCATCAAAACTAATCTCTAAAACACCAATTAATTAACAATAATTGTTCATTTGTTCATCTTCAAACCCACAAATAAAAAAATAAACAATAAAAAACAAAAATAGAAATAGACAGTTCAGTTTTAATTCCCACTTTAACTAACAATCAAAACAAAGTTCTCTTTCTCAGTGCCTCTCACACTCACCCTCTCATCCAAACTCCAATACCCTAATTTCAAGATTCTCCAACTCTTTCATCTTCTTCTTCTTCCTCCTCCTTGTTATTATATATATACATTTTTTCATGAAGCCTCTTGGCTGTGATTTTTACTTGTTTTTCTGCTCGGTATGATTCCAAAACCCTAACCCTATCTCTTATCCTGCAGATTTTACTTTACCTTTTTGTAATTTGTTTTGGTGAATGTTCTGGGTTGTTGAAACTGATGTATCTTTTGAATCACTGTTAAACTTTGATGGATTGGTTTTAGTACTAGTATGCGATGATGCTTGTGTTGTTTCGAAGGGTGTTTTGAAAAAATTTAGTGACGTGTACTTTTATTTATTCTCGTGGATTATTATTCAGTTTGGGAGGAAAGTGTTGTGAATTATTTTTTTCTTATTTTGGCAAGCGCGAGCCTACGGCTGCTTGGGTTTTTTTTTTTTTCTTGATTTGCTGGCTAGGTAGCCGTGTTCTGTTTGTTTTTTCGCTGAATGAAATGGAACAGTCATCCCTGAGATATCACGATGATTTATAATTTTATAATTTACACTTTGCAAGTAAAACAAGATAGAATTTATAGTTTTCTGAAATTTTCTCTCTGCGTTCTTTATAATAAACATGGATGTAAGGCGAGAGTAGAGATTAGTGGTATCTTGAATTTTGATTCTGAGCTTCTGTTTTTTCGGTTAACTTACTTTCTTCCCTGCGTTCCTTCCCGTTTTTGGTTTTGCAGCTAAAATAGTTGAGATTATTTGGTACCGAAGTTAACTCGGAAGTCACTGTGAAAGATGGATGTTGCTGAGGTGGAAGGAAATCTATTTTCTGCAAGTGATGCTAAGGTATCATTTCATCTTTGATTATTTTGAATTCTGTTTTTAGAATTCTAATGCTTTTTTGTGTAGTAGATTGACAATTTTTTTACAGTGTGCACAGTCTTTGTTTTTACGCGTTTCTTTATTGTTGTTTTCCAAGTTATTTTTCTTTATTAAATTAAAGAGAACAGTTGAACCTGTATACCTTTCTAAGGTGCATGGATTTTTTTACCTGGTTATCGTAACTGCTATTTGAGAAAATGTTTTTCATTTCTGGACAAATGAAAAAGAAAACATTAAAGGAATGTTCAAATACTGTTTTCTTACTCTGAACTTTTGCACCATTGTTTTTCCATTCTGTTAATTTTTTTTTTGTCTGTAATGTAACCATTATATATCTGGTTTCTTATGCAGTTGCATGGACAAATGTGCAAGACTCTTTCTATAATATATTGCAAAGTATTGTCTGTATTTCCATCTTTAGAAGCTGCTAGGCCTAGGAGTAAATCCGGTATTCAGGCATTATGCTCATTGCATGTAGCCTTGGAGAAAGTCAAGAATGTTCTTCAGCACTGCTCAGAGTGTAGTAAACTATACTTGGTACGATTTATTTCTTCTTTTGCTTTATTTGCCGATCATATAGTTTTTATTTTACCTTATCTCATGAAGCAGTTACCTCCTGATGGTGGTGGGTGAGAAATGCAATATTTTGGTAAAATATCTTACGTATTGCATTAATTATGATGCAGGCTATAACGGCAGATTCTGTACTCCTAAAATTTCAGAAGGCTAAATCTGCTCTTGAAGATAGTCTTAGACGGGTGGAAGAAATTGTTCCACAATCTATTGGGTGTCAGGTAATATTATTCAGCAACTTGGCAATCGCCAAATACCTTTTTTTGGAGGTTGAGGGTGATTAGTTTAGGTTCATGATCCCATTATTATTAGGTGGATGTGATCATACGAATGAGAGTGGCCCTATTTTAGATGTTTGATTTTGTTATACCAAAACAATTGATGCACCTTATTTTCATTTCACTGGGTTTGGCTTTCTGTAAAACTGGCCTTGTATATCTTCGTGTGCATATTTTGCTCTTTCTTGTTATCACTGTTAATGTTTAGTCTGGTCTGAGGTTTGACTGACTAATTTATCTGTTCAGGTTCAGGAGATTATGAATGAGTTTGTCACTATAGAATTTGCACTTGACCCATCAGAAAAGCAAGTTGGCGATGATTTGATTGCATTGCTCCAACAGGGAAGGAAGTTTAATGATTCTAGTGACAGCAATGAGCTTGAATCTTTTCATCAGGCTGCTACTAGACTTGGAATTACATCTTCAAGAGCAGCTCTTGCAGAAAGGAGAGCTCTGAAGAAACTCATAGAAAGGGCTCGATCTGAGGAAGACAAGAGGAAGGAATCAATTATTGCATATCTCTTACACCTTATGAGGAAATACTCCAAATTATTTAGAAGTGAGTTCTCAGATGAGAATGATTCTCAGGGTTCTGCACCTTGTTCTCCCACTGTTCTGGGATCAATTGAGGATAGTGTTCCGGGTAGTCATTGTCAAGCCTTTGACAGACAGCTTTCAAAATTCAGTTGCTTTAATTTCAGACCAAATAATAGTAGGAAATCAGGGCAGATGCCTCTTCCACCTGAAGAGTTAAGGTGTCCAATATCTCTGCAACTTATGTATGATCCTGTTATCATTGCTTCTGGGCAAACATATGAAAGGGTTTGTATAGAGAAGTGGTTCAGTGATGGGCACAACAACTGCCCCAAGACCCAGCAGAAACTTGCACATCTTTGTTTGACTCCTAATTACTGTGTTAAGGGCCTTGTGACTAGTTGGTGTGAACAAAATGGAGTTCCTATTCCTGAAGGTCCTCCTGAATCTCTTGACCTTAACTACTGGCAAATGTTATTATCAGAGTCTGAATCTACAAATTCAAAATCTGTAGATAGTGCCAGCTCTTGCAAGTTGAAGGGTGTTGAAATGTTTCCTTTGGAAGAGAGCGTTATCTCAGAGGAATCTGTGGAAAATGGAACTGAAAGTGTGTCTGCACAAGAGGAAGACACTGAGCAGTATTTTAGCTTTCTGAAAATTTTGACTGAGGGAAACAATTGGGGGAGGCAATGTGAAGTGGTAGAACAGTTAAGGTTGTTGCTGAGGGATGATGAGGAAGCCAGGATTTTTATGGGGGCTAATGGGTTTGTTGAAGCACTTTTGCACTTTTTGCAATCGGCTGTCAATGAAGGTAGTTTGATGGCTGTGGAAAGTGGAACAATGGCTCTCTTCAACCTGGCTGTGAATAATAACAGGTCTGCTTCATATTTCCACTTTTTAGTCATCAAGCAAAACTACTTTTCTTTTTAAAATTTCAAAACAGTTTTTGGTAGAAACTTTATGTTGTGTTTTGCCAAAGTCATTGACGATCAAAACTGATCTCTGAGATATAGTGCAAGTGGATGTGAAAAATTGATCACTGCCCCATATTGAATGCATTTCTACTAGATAAAATACATAATTTCTTCAGTGTTTAGACTCTGATTCTTTATTGTTACATTTACAATTCAGAAAGAGTTATTTATTTATTCATTTAATATATATACCATCAATAAATGTGGCTGAAATTTACCGATATGGTAGAGTTAGTGTTTCATTACCTCCTTCTAAATTCATATATATATATATATATATATATATATATATATTAACCTCTTCACACTATTAACTTGAAGTTGATCTTTATTTTTCAACAGAAATAAGGAAATTATGTTATCAGCTGGAGTATTATCATTGTTGGAAGAAATGATTTCTAAAACAAGTTCTTATGGTTGTACAACTGCTCTTTATTTGAATCTCTCTTGCCTTGAAGAAGCCAAGCCAATGATTGCAACGAGTCAGGCTATCCAGTTCCTAATTCAGCTTCTCCAATCTGACTCTGATGTTCAATGCAAACAAGATGCTCTCCTTGCTCTCTATAATCTTTCTACCGTACCCTCCAATATTCAATACCTCCTTTCAATGGGCATCATTAGTGGCTTACAGTTCCTTCTTGATGGCAACAGTGATTGCATGTGGACAGAAAGATGCATAGCTGTTTTGATAAATTTAACTACTTCTCAAGTTGGAAGGGAGGAAATAGTATCAACTCCCGGACTCATTAGTGCATTGGCTTCAATACTGGACACCGGTGGGCTCTTGGAACAGGAGCAAGCTGTCTCTTTACTCCTAATTTTGTGCAATAGAAGTGAGGAGTGTAGTGACATGGTCCTGCAAGAAGGGGTTATTCCAGCGTTAGTTTCAATATCAGTCAATGGGAGCCCAAGAGGCAGAGAAAAAGCTCAGAAACTCTTGATGCTGTTCCGAGAGCAGCGGCGGGACCATTCACCTGTAAAGACACATCAGTGCCCACCCGAAACTGGTGATTTGTCTATGCCGCCAGCTGAAATGAACCCGCCATGCAAGTCTATTTCAAGAAGAAAATCTGGGAGAGCTTTTAGCTTTTTATGGAAAAGCAGGAGCTATTCTGTTTACCAGTGTTAAGCTCTATGGGTTGTTGTAAATATGTGTTAGCATATTTACCTTTTTTGGCCCTGCTTTTATCCTCCTCTACTTCCTGTTCCATGGGTGCTCTGCTTAATTTTTGGTTCAAAGCGAAGAAGAGATGTACAGAAGAACTGTGTAATTTATGGATTTTGTTTTCTTCTTTTGCTTTTCTCTTTGTAAAATCAATTTTTCCTAGTGCTAGATTCTTTCTTTTTAGGGGGTGATCTTAGGCTTAGGCTTACAATTTTGCAATTAACTGTGAATTATGCCTTGAGGTGTTTCCTCGGCCGACAAAATCTGCATGTAAAGATATATGTGTAGTCCATAAAGAAAAATTTGGAAGCTTCTCGTGTCTGGACTTGTGAAATATTTCGCTGCTTGTTGCTTGTGAAAAATTTCGCTGATAAATCCTTTAAGTGATTATATATTTCGCTGTCGTTGATAAGTCCTGATTATATATTTCATTGATAAATATATATTTCAAGTGATTATAAATTTCGCAGATAAGATTTTAAGGTTTTAAAGGTTTTAAGGATAGTGATTATATATGTTTTAAGAATTAAGTCTTTTTTTCATATCTTTATTAGTTTTTTAACCATTTATAATGAAAATTAAAATAACTATTATTGGATAGAAAACCATTTATAATGAAAATAAAAATAATTATTATTGGATAGAATCTAACAATGAAAATTGAAATGGTAATTATTTAATAGAATTTAACAAGATTGAGATAATTTTTATTAAATGATAAAAGAGAATAAAGAAAATAAATAAATATTAATGAAAATAAGAAATAAAAGATACATCCATGGATAAAAGAAAATAAAGAAATATTAATGAAGATAAGAAATAAAAGATATATCGATGGATAAGTTTAAAATGTTATTATGAGAAAGATTTCTCAATTGGATTAGAAATTATCAAAAGAGATTTAAAAGAATTCACAATCTATTTTTCTTACAAAATTAAATTTTAATTTTCAAAAAATCTGTATTATGACTAGAAAAATAAGTTAGAGAAAGTCTTGTATATCATGGATTTTTACGGATTTAAAATTTAAGTTTTATTTTTTAATGAAGTTTATTCAATAAAATATCTAAACATTAATGGAAATTAATATTTAATAAGTCTCTAATTATATAAAATTATAAAAATCCATACATCTCTTAACGAATTCATCATCCTTTTAGCTGGGAAAAAATTATTCACATTACCTACGTACGAACATGAGTATGGAGTAAATTCAAAATTAAAATAATATAAAATATAAGAAAATTGAGATTTGAGTTTATGTGAAAGACAAATATCTTATTATCAATATTTTCATATGTTTTCTTGTAAAATGAAATATTTAATTATGAAAATATTAAACAATATAAATATTAAAGTGTTAGTGGTAAGTTTCAAAATTAAGTCAATTTAACGGAAGTAATAAATTATGAATATTCTTCTTTATTCAATCTAATTTTTAAGGTTCTTATCATCATTCAAGTCTATTCTCTATTTATTTTTTTTCGTCAAAGACTTATTATCACTACCTAAAATCAAGAAGGATATTCATGATTTTTTTTTGTCTGAATTCTTTTTTTTCTTTAGATTTTGTTTGGATTGAAGAGATGACTTGAGAGAGTGAAAAAGAGAGAAAGATAATAGAAGGTGAAATTGTTTGGATTTAGAAAAATAATGGGGAAAGTAATAAGTGTAAAGATAAAAAAATAAAATTGATTTTATTGATTAAAAAAATAAATAATAAGATAAGTTGATACATGACCAAAATACCTTTATTATAAATATTAATAAAAATAATATAAATTAAAAAAATATAATTTAATATGACATAATTATATAAATTTATGTAAATTATAATTATTTATTTATAATTAAAAAAAGTAAGCTATAATCCTAAATGTTTACCTATTTTTTTTATAATTATTGTCTAAATTTGTTTTTTCCATTATTTCTAGTTCCAATAATTTTTATAATTAATTATCTAATTTCTATAAATTAACACTATAAACTAATATTTGAAATTATTTAATAGTTACAAACTTAAAATTAACAAATCTTACTAATATCAAATATATGTAGACATTATCTCCTTTTAACAAAAAGTTAATAATTAAATTATTGATGGTTGTAATATTTCAATTTTTTCTTGAATTGTATTAGTTCTGCAATGCACTTAATTATGCAAAATTCTCGTGAAGATACGGATAAGAATGAGATAAAATTTCACCATATTTTCTTATTTTTCTTGGTGTATATATATATATATATATATATATATATATATATATATATATATATAGTTTTTCTATCTTTTTATTAGTCCTTGTTTTTTCTTTGACACTATTATTACAATAGGATGTATATGAGCTTATACGTGAACATGTATCAGATTAAGCATTGGAATAAACATGGTTGTATTAAGATTAGTACTAGTATTTGACAATATTTTCTATTAGGTAAGATTTTGAAAAAACCAAATCAACGCTAGATTTAATTAACACCACGACTAATACCAGTATCAACATCTTAATCAAAGTCAATACATCAACTTAAGTACAGACATAAACGTGTGAAAGTAGGCACTAATTGATGCGTCCTTTCAACTCAAGAATGTACAAGCAGTGCCAATTTAAATCAAAACCACCAAACTACATAACTGCTTATAATTTCTAGATGTGATAGAATCATGTTCCCAATTTCATCTTCAATTCAATTATGCCAATCACATTTCAATTCACGCAGCTTGCAGCACCGCTTCTTAATTCCAACACCTTTCTTTGTAAATAGATTGAAGGATTCAAATCATCTTTTCAATAATCAACGACAGATCTATATTGTCTCATGTGAATTGCACGGTATCACAATTGTGAATCAAATAATAACTATTTGATCTTCTCTTGTCTAAGGCTTGTGTTCTTAAACACATTCTAACACTACAAACAACTAATTATATAATAAAATAATCCAGAGAAAACTTGTATTATATAAATGTGATGTAAAAGAAAAAAATTATGTTACAACATGTTTTTAATGTGGATAATTGTAAGGGAAAATAAACAACGTGAAATTTGGTCGTGACATTGACACATCATTCTTAATATATTTGAGTTTTTTTTTTTAAATATTTTTTAGTTTATTTAGAAATGATTCTATTTTCATGGATATATGTTAACTTGAAAATCTTCATTTTCCTTAATTTTAAATAAAAATCTTCAATTTTATATGATATATTCTTATGTGCTTTATAAAAATTTTTTTGGTATTGTTTCAATTTTTTTAAAATGTTATAAAAATGACATAATTATGTTATGATAATAGAGTGATAAGGATCTACCCTCACATTATGACTATTGATTGTTTCGGGTTTAGGTTTTCGACAATTTTCATCTATCAATAAAAAAATTTATAATCTTAATTGATAAATTTAATATGTCATTATGAGGAATTAAGAAAGTCGTTATTTTAAATTAGAAATTTAAATATAAAAATAAATTTTTCTTTAAAAAAAATGTAGAGATATTTTTTTCACTGAGATGATCTTTAATTTTCTCAAAATTATATTATGAATAAAAATAAAATTTATAAATACTCTTACATATTACATGGATAAATTGATCTAATAAATTATTTAAATTTTAATAAAAATTATTATCTATCAAATTTTTAATTACAAAAAATTACATACATAATGATAGTGTAAAGTTTAATTAAAAAATAAATAAAATATTCAATCTAGAAATTATAATTAAAAATTTAAAAGTATAAAAATTATTTTTAATCCTTGATGCGAAATTGTCAGTGGAGTGCAAGTTTTGTGAAAAGGAAACGAACGTCGCTTTAACAATCAATTTCAGCTTTCTTGCGTTATCTTTGGTCCGTGTTTCTTGGTTGCTTTAAACAGTCTCTGTATTTTACATTCATCTTTAAATAGAAATCATGACTTTACTTTTCACATATTGATTGCATTATTTACTTGAAAAAAGTGATTAGTCAAAATTTCCTTTTCTTTGGTCAATCAATTTAATATCTAGTTTAACTAAACGCTAAAATTAATTGCATATGTTGTGAATTTGGGACAAATATCCAAATATAATTTTTATTAAAAAAATAATTTAAATGTATATTTTAATTATATTTAACTAAATGTGGTTCAAATCTAAATTAATTAGTTTGCTACCGAAATTAGATCTACGTCAAAAGGCGTGGAACAGTGAAGTAGATAAAATTTTATATTTATAATATTGTTCTTTTTAAATCTTTTTAGATATTTAAATTTTATGGTAATTTTAAAAAATATTATATATATATATATATATATTTCCAAGTCCATTTATTTTTTATAATTATTAAAATAAATAAGTAAATTATAATACAGAGAAAAAAATAAAAATTAAAACAAGATATTAAATAATTTGTTTTGAAGATATTTTATATTATTTGATATTTTTATATTTTTTTACAATTCAAATGAGACTTAATAATTTTAACAACAAATTGATTTCTTATTTTAACTTCTAAAATTGTTGACTAAAATTGGTCATTGTTTATAAATATGATTCATTATTCTTAGTTAGTGAAAGCCAGGATGATGGATGGGTGAGTGTTGGATTTTAATGTTTGGCCCATTAAGTTTTTGTTGGCAGAAGAATTGGATTCCACTTATGCTATGTAATTCCAATTGGATATATGATCTGATGATAACTTCTGCTCCACTTCTTAATTTTTCATTTTTTAATTTTCTCATCCACTTGATGAGAGAGAGTTTGAAAAGTGGAAGTGATATTAATCTATTAAAAGCAATATGCACATAATTTTATAACTATTAATTCTTTTCTTTTACTTATTTGTTTTAATGATTTTTATTTTAAAACAAATATTTTGTACTTTTTTTCTTCTAATACATAATAACACTAGAATATGTCATAAATAGTTATCAAATATTATATTTCTTATTTGGTTTCTTGTTCTTAAATAGTTATAAAACT